GGGGATTGAACCGCGGTCCCTGATGCTTTTGCTAAGCTTGTTCTAAGTAGGTGCTTTAGACCACTGAGCCATCTCTCCAGCCCCCAGATTTTTTAAAATAAGCTTTTGTCTGGAGGGTGCTAGTCAGCACTTCACTGTCTGACGAAGGTCTTGTAGGTGTATATATGCTTAATCCAGTCTCAAAAGTTGCTGTTTCTTGTCTCAATAGAAGTGTAATCAGACTACGTAGTAATTTTCAAAACTGGAAAAATTACCTGTGTGAAAGTCAAGGTGCTCCCTAGCTGAATGAAGCCTCACCAGCGGCCCTGTGTGATGGATCACATCACACTTTTGCAGCCTCACTCAACTTATTTAAGAGCCTTGTGCCCTGACTAAGCCTTCCAGAGAACACCGTGTGCACTTCCTTCCAGGTTTATGAGACACTGAAAGATCAGCCGGTGTGCAAGGAGGAGGCGGGGCTTCCTGCCAACCGGCTCCCCACATCTGCTTCTGTTCCTGGGAGTAGCCGCCCCCACGGCTGGCCTGCTTTCTTGGCTCCAAACTCTGTATCATATCCTCCTTTAATTGTCAAGATCTAGGGGCAGAAAGACTTCCTGGTGCTGCCTAAGTCACTTTAAGCTGATTTTTCTTTTGTATAAGTATCCTTTCTTTAAATCTGCTCCATTCCCCAACCAGCTGTTAAAATCTTTTCCCTGTCTGAACTCTTTTTTTTTTTTCTTTTCAGAACCGGAGATTGAACTCAGGTCCTTGCGCTTGTCAGACAAGCGCTTATTCTACTGAGCTATCTCCTCAGGCCCCTGAACTTTGAATGAAAAATTCTGCCTTCTTTTTCTCACACACACACAAAAAAATAAAATAAAAAATCAAGAAAGGTTAACTGAATTATAAGAAGTTTTGTGTTGATGTTACTATAATCAAAAGCCAATTACTAAATTTAGGAGTAAAAATTAATATAGAGATATATTCCTTGTGCGTATGGGCTCTATTTTAATAATAGGGGTATATCGATGATATCATTATATCTTTAGAAAAAGGCTGACCACATTAAGCATTTTGCTGCCAGTGCGTATTCCTTTGTAAATCACTATTGACTCAAAGGTCAGCATTAAATGACACATCTGCAACGTGCAAAGACATTCTGAAAACCAACTTATAGAAATGCACTATGTACGAGCGTGTGAAAGCTGCCGTTAATTCTGGGCAAGATTCTCCCAGTCACTTAATGTCTAATTTCTCTGTTCGTAGCCACAGTGATGGAGGGAGGGAGGGAGGGAAGAGCAGGCCCCGAGGGAAGACCGCGGTTCAAGAAGGGTGCGCGCGTCCTTCAGAGCGCCGCGGAGCCAGGCAAGGCAGGGATGAGCGGTCCTCGCCGCACTAACCGCAGGCAGCGCCAGCTCCTTTCTCCCCAGCCTCCTTTCCTCTGGCTCGTGCTCAAATACTGGCCTCTTTTGTGCTATTCTTTGCTAAGTGCCTTTTTCTCTTCGCTTTGTATCTTTCCTCTTTTGCGGTTTTGTGACACACGCTGTCTCCGCCGCTGTCTGTGCAGCTCGGAGCCTGCGCACACCTCGCCTGAAACCATCCAGCGATGGTTTCACCTCGGCCCAGCCCGGTGCCCCTGCGTCACCAGGCACTCCACGCACCAGCCAGTGGCACTGCCAGCTGCGCCGCGGAAGAAACCAGACGCTGGCCCTTTCTCCTGACCTTTACGGTGAACCGATCTCAGGGTCCAGCGGCTTCCACTTTGTGGTTCCATCTTCATTCCTGTAACTGCGCGATCCTCACAATCATGCTCTATCATGCGGGTTACGGAACATGTTCCCAACTAATCGCTGCCTCTCGCCTTGCCTTGTAGAATGCAAATCTGATCGCATCGACCTCTAATCTGAACGCTGATTTCACCAAACATTGATTACGTTCAAACTTTCCTGCTCACTTTCTTATTGCTATCCCTCAAACTTTGTACAAACTTTTCCTCACATATTTTCTCTACACCGATCTAAATCTTATTAATTGCGCCATCATAGAGACTGGGTGAGAGTATGAACAAAAGGTGCTTAGAATGTTTTAAAAATAATTGTTCAGTGGTGGTACCATGTAAAAACTGCTTATTTATCTTCATATGACATTCTTCTAAAATTATCGCCTGCCTTGTAAAGTCTGTAGGAAGTGGTGGCCAGACAGTTGCTATGTTAACTTTTAAGATTCTCTACCCTGGGCATGCAGAGCAGTACTTGGCTGTGGGAAACACTACAAAGTAGTTGTTGGGTTAAATTATACTGAGCTAAACTTTCCTGGTCAAATTTACAGGTTCACTTCTGGTCTGCTGCTATTGAGTTTAGAATTTTAGCTATACACTTCAGCTCTAGAAATAAGGTCATGGAGACATATTTTATCTTTCAACTGAATAGCCTACTCATGATAAAATGGATTCCTAGAAAGTAAGTGGAGTGTTGATTTAGCACTTATGATTCACGCTGTATTTCATGCGCTGTGTTTACATTGCTGACGTCTTAGCTTGTTGCTGGCCTCTTGCTGTTAATAAATCTCCCCAGAGCTACTTCTGCCTGAGCAGCCTGAGTTCCCTGATTACTTGGTCGTTAAACATGCACACTGATTAGAACAAGACAAGGTAAACAATTGCATTCTTTATCTGTTTACATGATACCTACTGTAAGTGAGTTTGGTCACAATAGGACATAAAATCTATTTCATAAGTAAAATCCATACCGTGCCAACAGCATGCTCCAGCAGCAGCACGAGGCACGCAGCCGCCAACACCATTGTCGCTGAGAAAATGAAGCGCATATTTCTCTCACAGCAAGGGTGGGTCTCTCTCCAGAGACAGAAGAGGGATCACCGTCTAGGGAAAGCCGGCCGATCCTTCTCGAGGTCTTGCAGCTGATCTAGGTCAAATGAAAGGAAATAGAGGGTCAGTTGGCAGGAGAAGTGGTGAACAGGAACTAACTTCATCGATGGAAGTATGTGCAGGAAAACCCAATTTTGTTTGAGACTTCATAAGCTTGATGCATTTTTAAGATGTTTTAACTGTTCACCTTCTTCGTGGCTCGGGTCAGTGACCACAACAACGCAGTTCTCTCTAGTTTAAGGTGGATACGAGGCATGTAATACCAAGAATTATTACTTCACCATGTTCCCTCAAAAATGAAATATGCTTTGAGTTTCACTCTTTCACAGGCCCAAAATAAGCCTCAAAGTTTTTCGTAAAGTGGGATGTTGTAATGTTACAGAAACAGAGCTGGCAAAAATTACACAAGGCCTGTTCCATAACTGAGATAAGAGTGTGAGAATATGCCAACTGGGAAAGGTAAAGGCTGAGCACAAAGCTAGGTGAGCATGTTTTGAAAAACGGAAATGGTCTTTATCCTGGGCCGAGGTTTCCTGGTTGGTATAGGATGAGATAAATTTCAAGAATGTTTTTTTGAGAAAATAAAAAGTAGTAAAAATAAAAAGCATTAGAAACGACACAGAATTGCTGTAAACAAAACAATAGGAATTCAACAATGGTTGATACATTGCATATTGTTGTCTTCAAGTTAGTTGTTCATATTACCAGATGTAAGCATTCAAAGTTGGTCAAAAATTTAGCAAATAAAAATTAGAAAGAAAGAAAAAAAAATTAAGCTTTGACTGTTTCTTTCAATAGACCAATAGACTAAGTCATGTGTTCCTTATGTGATGCTACACATGAACACATAGCTGTTTGTGTCTTTCTTTGGAAAACTGAGATTTCTAAGCACAAATGTCCTACTGGCTTCAGGTACTTTGTAGAGCAATGAACTTTTGCATTACTGTGCAAGATTTTTTTATGCTGTCATGTTTTTATGAGACTTTGGAATTAAAGTTTTGGGTACAGATTGTTATTAAAATATTTGTGAATGAATATAGCTTACTTATGAAATAGTTATACCCTATATTACATTTTAAATGAATATTATTACATAGTTTTTGTAGAGTGGAACATCTTGTAACAACAGATATCTTTAGCTAGATGGACAATTTATATTAACAAATATCAGTTTCATCCTTTTCATTCTGAAAAGCTGGATAATTTATCTCCTCCGGCAGTTCAAGCATGACATGTTTCTGATTTCCTCCTTACCATAGAAGCTTGTCTTGGGCACAATCATTTATTTATAATCCCATTAAAAATACTATGCCAAAATGAGCTAAATATTTCACGTATGATCAATTTTTTGGTTTATCTGTATATTAGACCTAGACAATGCTGAGAAAGATATTTGAAATACATTTTAATAATATATCCTTATCAACCAGTGGTAAATTTGAGAACAACAAGCTATAAAATTTTCTTTTTTTAAAATAGATAGTAGCAAGTATTTCCTTTTTAAAATAATGTAGCAATTATTTTACCTGAGATAAGGAGATGGGAAGGCTGAGATTTTCCTGCATCCAACATAAGGTGAGAGTATTTTGATCTTCAGCACAGTAGTGTATATATATATATATGGGGCCTAAGTTCCTTACCTTTCCTGTTTGCTTACCCTGAATTATGCAAAGTAGTGTAATATGCTGTTGAGAAACCCCCCAAAAAATTATACCACATGCTTCTGAACCAAACAGTCATTATTTAGTTCTAAAGAAGAGCTCAGTTAATGATGGCTATTCTTTTATAATTAGGTTTAATCATGTTAATAATAATGAATCATAGAAGATAACCTAGAGAGTGTTAAGACTATTTAAGTAGGTGGAGAGTTATGTAATGTTTTTCCTGTAAATCTCATTCATCATTCACTAATTAGCTTTTGGTAAATTGACTTCATGTTATATAAGACTTCCAAAACATAAAACATCACATTATGATCTCTCAATAAAATTAATACTATTTAGTATGACATTTAACGAACATGGGAAATTATTTTAATCTTATTTTTGTTCTTTACTTTTATAATTAGTATAGAGTAATTATACAAGACAGTGGTCTTTATTTTGCCATATTCACACATGCATATGAAATACTTTGATCATTTCTCTTTAATATTTTCATCTTTCCCTTTTCGGTCTTCTCCTTTGATCTCCTTTTCTAGTCTTTCTTTCTTTCTTTCTTTCTTTCTTTCTTTCTTTCTTTCTTTCTTTCTTTCTTTCTTTCCTTCCTTCCTTCCTTCCTTCCTTCCTTCCTTCCTTCCTTTCTTTCTTTCTTTCTTTCTTTCTTTCTTTCTTTCTTTCTTTCTTTCTTTCTTTCCATTTATTTGGACAGGATCCCACTACGCAGCTTGGACTTGTAGTGATCGATCCTCCTGTTTTCAGCCTCCCCAGCACAGGGATTATAGATGTATACCCCCATGCATGGTCTTGGTCGCTGGCTCAGTGTGCCTGGGGGTGGAACCAGAGTAGCATGTGGTGCCAGGGATCAAACCCCAGTCCCTGAGCTTGCCTAAGCAGTTGCTTAGTCCCCTGAGCAATCTCTCTGGCATTTATCATCTACTTTCATATCATTTTTTAAATTCAATTTGTTCTTTTAGATTTCACACATAGAGAAAACATGTACTATTTAATTTTCTGATTCTAGTTTATTTCATTCAACTTGGTGGTGTCCATTTACATCTATTTTTCTGAAAATGTCATGACCTTACATTGTCTTTATCCATTCATCTATTCAGGGACACCTAGAATACTTCTAAAACTTAGTCTCAATAAACATGAGTATGTAGGTAACTTTATAGCATACTGCCTCTCATTCCCTTCTCTATGCTGAGTCACTGGAGGCAGTGGTGCCCCTCCCTATTCATGAGCTTAATTCATGGTATGATTCTGGCTGTGAACCAGACAGGTCACGAGCCAAACCAAATTTCCCACAAGGTTCAATGTAACTAATGTTAACTTGTTCTAAACTGTATGCAGTGTTTAATCATAAAAATAAAATCAAAATACAGTACAGAGAAAGAGTACCAACCCTGCTTCTGGCATAAAGGACAGGAAGGTGGGTGGGAAGGAGGGCAGTATTTGGAAGGAGAGTCCCACTCCACAAGGACTTCAGTGGGCTCTCGTACATAGATTTCCTCTCTTCTTGTCTCTTATCTGCAGATTGAATTTGGATGAAAAATCTTTTGAATGCCACTTTTATTTTTCCTGTACTGCATATCCCTCTGGGAATAATTTATTTATTCAGTTATAGAAGTCACAATTAGTAGTTTCTAAATTTCTGATCCTTGATAACAAAATCTTATTCCCCAGGCCAACACAAAGAGACACAGTAGGTCAGGCAGTAGACTCTCCTGGACACCTGTCATTGGACTCTGGATCTCCTCAAGTGAACATCCAGAAGATCTGTTTCTCTTCTCAATTGTTTCTCTTCTCATGTCTCAATGACTAAGAGTCAGAAGTGAAAGGAACTCGAGTCTAGTCACGTCCTTCTTTCTGCTTCCTGAACAGGGGAGGCTTTGGGGACCCCTCGTGTGATCAGCGATGTGTGATCAAACCTTATGGTAACATCCTACGACCTAGCAACAGGCCTGGGCACGCCAGCATTTATTGCTGGAGAAGTGCGAGCTCTTGCATTGCTATTTTGAGGGGCTTGCATCCACATTTGAAGGTCTTGCTTTATTGATTGAATTACTGTATCACAACTTGGTGCCGTGGAGATTTGAATAACACCAGTTATATCTCAAGGGGGGCAGACCATAAGACAGCAATCTTGGACAAGGAAACTCGTGCTCATCATTTTTTTTTAAGATGGGAAACTGGAACCTCCACTCTTCCTCCTTAATTTCATAAAAACAAACAAAACTATAGCCCTGAAAATTAAAATGATGACATGTTAATAATGTTAGAAAATCTTGAACAGAATTTAGTTTTCCTAATATTTAGGAAGAAAGTTTGTTTTTATATTGTGTAAAATGCTTTAGTACTGCTAGATGGCTTCAAGAAAAGGACACAGAGAACAGATACTGTCAGTATCCAGAGGCTGTGATTTGAACTCACTGTGACCCAAATTATTATCACTGATAGTTAATAATTATGCTTGAAATTCTACCATAGAATCAAAGTGACATTCCTGAAGTGAAATTATTAAAGATGGAATCCATGGGGAATTCCTGTGAGAGTATTTTTCCTATTAGGAAAATTCTCTAAGCTGTTATCTGGTTAGTGTTTTACACACAGCTTATTGGCCACTTTTCTGTGAACTAGTTGGGCCTCGAAGCAGCAAGGAATAAATCCATTACATTTTGATGATAAAAGTATTTTCGAAAACTTACTTTCCCCTACTGATGTTAACTCTTGGGTGAAGACTATATTTTCAGAATGTTTTGAATACCTTTACTTTCTATACATTGAGATACTGTTCTATACAGTTTTTAAAATCTCTGTCTCTGTCTCTCTGTCTGTCTGTCTGTCTGTCTGTCTGTCTGTCTGTCTGTCTCTCTCTCTCTCTCTCTTTCTCTCTCTCTCTACTTGGGACTGAACTCTGGAACTTGTGCTTGCCAGGCAGGTACTTCACCCACTGAACTCTCTCTCAAGCATTTGAATGTCTTGATTAACTTTAATTTCAACATTGAGATACTATTTCTAAAATTATTTATTAATATACCATTCATTTCAAGGAAAACAACCCATGTTTTAATTTTATCATTAATAAATTATCTAGTATTGATGAAACCATTTGTAGTTGAATTATTCATAGTAGTTTCCTGTATATAATAGTTTGTTCTGAGTAAACACTGGTTGTATTACCTTGACTATGAATTTCTAATTCATGAAAATGACCGTCTCCATAGTGTGGTTTAAACTAACAAATATTTATATCATGCTGTTTATGCTGGTGTATTTTAAATTCTATTACCTATAACAAAGTGCTCTTTTTGAGTTGTCACTGCAATGACTATGTACATCTAATGTAGCATTTATCATGTTGAATTGAAATTATTTATTTGTTAATTTTATTGCTTATATTTTAGCACTATTAGTAGATACTCTATTATTTTTCTACCTGTTAAATTATAGTCCTAAACATGTAACTATGCCACAGATAATAAAATGCATGTTAATCATTCACTGAATTAAGTGCTTTCATAAATAATAGACTAACTCAGAATATTACTAAAATATTTTTATAGTTGAATAAATTATTCAGATATAAAGTGATTGCCTTTAAAAAGCAATAACAATCATGATTTGGTCAAGAAAACTAAAATATTCTATTTGTGATTCAAGATGATATTGCATCAAATACTGGACTGAGATTAATTTGACCAGAGGTGAAGAAAAAAAAAATTCAATCATGCAAGGAACTATGAAAATGAATAGCCCGATGGAAAGTAAAACAAATGTCAGGGATTGATGACGAATTTGAGAATGCAGAAGCAGGCACAAATAGTCAAGATGAGATTAAATAAAGAGCAACTTGGCTGAAGGGCTTAAATTAGTACTGGGATTGTAATGTTCACTGGAACTGTTCATCATGAAAAGATTTGGCAAGGTCTCTAAAGTTCAATGTGTACATTTGGGGTTTATAATTATAGACTCTGATGCTAGCGGTGGGCTTTTTCTGGTCCAACGCATTTTGTTTTTGATCTGGACATTTTCACTGACTTTTTAAAATGAACTACAATTGTATCATTGTCATCTTTATCAACAGTTTGAAAAACTGGACAGACATACACTATCCAAGACTTGCTAAAGCTAGTAGAATGGAATAAACTTAGTCATACAAGTCAAATGATAAGACAAACACACACTACTGAAACTTCAGTTTGTTGGGAGGAATATGTTTTGAATATTTTAACTGTTAATTAGCAATGATATTTGAAAGATTCTTAAATAATTCTTTGTATTTAGACGTCTTACCAATCACCAGAATTAGATACAATTTAAAAATACCCCATAGAATCAGAGAAAGGTTTTCTAAATATTCAAACATTTTATAAAGGTTATTTTCCAATCATTTCTAACAGAATTAGATCAGATCTCCCACTGAAACAGGTAAATTTTTAGTGTTCAAATAAAATGCACTTCAACTTGTGGTATATGGAAGTTGCCTGTCCCAGTCTGGTCAGAATGTGTTTTCCTTTTGCTATCTTGCAAGATCAACTATTCTTTTTATTGTTATTTGCTTTACTCATAACAACTACTGATTTGTATTTTTAAATGATGTTATTGTTAGAATAAAAAAATGGCAAGAGATTTTCTAAATTACCATGGTTAATGTAAGCATTTCTAATTGAAAAGCTGGGATTTGAAGCAAGGTCCTTTGCATGTAAGTCTAATATATAATTTTTAACACTGTAAAATACCTTTAGATAGAGCAATTCTCAGTTATCACATTGGAAATAGGTAAACTATACCAATTCACATATGTAGGTGAAAATCATTCGAAGTATCATTCACAATAGCAGGAAATTGGAAAGTACTTAAATACCAAATTGCAGACGTTAAATTACACAATACATTTCTACTGTATTATTCAGTCTATAAAAAAATCATGTTTCAGAAAAACCAGAAGGGAGAGGGAGGGAAGGGACAGAGGACAAAATAATTAAAAGCTTATATACAAGCACTGATTCCTCATGATGAATGTAAATTTTTAAATGGGACAAGAAATGGCAATGACAAGATGCCAAGTAAAAAATAGGGAATTATATGGCATTGTATTACCCCACTTATGTAATGTAAATTTCACATAGAAATACATTTGTAGAAATACATGTGAAGGGAAAAAAAATCTTCAAAGGAAATATTCCAAAGGACTAATAGTGGTCTCCTTGGTGAGGACAAAAAGATAAGTATTTATTTCATTTTAAAAATAATTTATGAATCTTATAAGAATATGAACTGGAAATAAGCAAATTAACTATAAAAAACTAAAACCAAATTGGCCTCAGGGTTCTTCTGTAATATTGTACTAAAGATAAAACATCATGTACACAGCATTATCAGAAATAAAAGATTGTAGTCCACTAATTCTTTAATCAGTATATGCTTGTTGTACAGAATAGGGGATTTTGTGTGGTATCTTGTGCAAGCATGTAGCATATTTCGATCCACATGTTTTCCTCCTAAAATGTCCTCAGTTTTTGCATTAAGGTAGTAGTAGTAGTAATGAATTGAAAAGTATGGCTCACTTTTCCATTTTCTGAAATTATGTAAAAAAAAGATGTTGATTCTATTGTGTTTAGCAGGATTCTATGGTGAAATCTTGGCCTGGAGAATTTCTCTTTGGAGACTTTAGAATTGTGAATCTATTTCTTCGGTGGTCAAGGCTGATCTGGGAACCCACTTCCTCCTGGTGGCGCCAGCTCCTGCCAGTCTGTCGTCTGATGACTCAGACCTACTTTGCAACTTTTGCTCTTTTTCCGCATGTTTAGTTTATGTTTTCTCATGTGTGACTGGGCTGCCTTTCCCATTATTTTTCCACGCGTAGTTAAGAATGTGTGCACTGGCTTTAAAATACTCTGTCTAAAATTTATTTCATGAGACGCAGGCCCGGCGAGTGAGTGAGATGACCCAGGGCCCTCTGGATCCTGAATAGACCCAGAGCGCAGGCCCTCCGAGTGAGTGAGACGACCCAGGCCGCAGGATCCTGAACAAACCCAGAGTGCAGGCCTGGTGGTGAGTGAGTGAGACGACCTGGGGCCCACGGATCCTCATTCAACCCAGACTGCAGGCCCAGCAGGGAACCCTTCAGCAGAACTCTCTGCAAAGAGGCTAG